TGAGAATAAAATAAAAAAAATAATAAAAAAAACAGAGGCAAGCATTCAAAATCGGACCGAGACCAAAACTGTGTGTGTAAGACAGGGGCAGAAATGAGTGTGTCATGTGGAGAAGCAGCTTATGCACATGGTGTTTAGTAATAACAGCATTCAGCATTAGAGAGAGAGAGAGAGAAAATGAATGGTGCTAATTGCAAAAGAGCGATCAGGCAAGGCAAATGGGTAGATGGTTTCACTCCATGCTGCCATTCAGAAACTGGGCTGGGTGTTGGGGAACAGGCATAGAGGGGAATGATAGCAGAAGACACTGTACCGTAGATGTATATCTAGCTTTCAAAGCTGAAAACCCTATTTCATGGCAATTTCTTTATATTATACTGAGTAGGTGGAAATATTCAGAGAATTACTGTAATACTCAGTTTAACTGGAATGTAATGGTGTTTGCCTCGGTGAAACCTTAATTAAAACACACACTAACAGATGTTTAATGGATACTATATTATATTCCTGTCAGCTTAGTGAACTCACAGACATATTCCATCTCAAAGCAACCAGAGTGATTTTCAAAATAAGTATGGAATAATCGTTGGTCTTAAGCTTCTTCATGAGTATACTCGATTTCCGATTGTGTGTTCAATGTGCAGCATATAGCTGTAGGTACTTCTTACTCCCATCAAGTGTCTCTGTTATGTAATTGGTTATACAGTTAGTTGCAGAACACACATATATTGCTTTTATAACAAGGTATCTAATGTACCTAACAGATTTTCAAGGGCCAATTATTGTTGCCTGGATTGTGCAAAATGATCCCGCTGACAAGGTAAAAGATCTCGCCAAACATAATCTATACAGTGTTTCAGCAAAAAGACACTTTGGCTGACAGCAACATGGTGGTGGTGGATCTGTAATAATATGGGCAGCGACCTCCTGGGAGTGATTGTGTGTATTGCTCTCTGTGGTCAAGCAACAGGCATATATAATAACAGTCTGTGGCTATTTTCCTGCATCAAGTACACTCTATGAAGCGCACACTGTTCTACACACACTAACTTCCTGGTCTCCCCGTGAAACTTCACTGTTCAAGTCGTGTGGCTGCACTTCAAAGACAAATAAGGCTGTTCTGAGGGTAAAGTGGAACAATGATTTTATTTTCATATATAGCTCATAATGCGTATTACATTCACCTGTAGCTGTTGCTTGCTCTCCGATGGGCATAAAAATGAGTCCCTACGATGAGACTGATTTCTGAGTTGTATTCTAAACTATTTGGGTGAAAATCCTTATCAACTTCAAAGAGGCTTTGAGAAAAACGTCGAGGCCTGATGTTTTTAATTCATTTCGACAAGGTCTATTTGTCATGGAACTTCACAATGTCTGTGATAGTTTATGAAAGGTAAAGCAAAACTTTGTTCATTTCCTTTAAAACTCCTCTGTGAAAATACATCAACTCTCCCCATTGCTTCAATTACAAGCTCTATCAGATGACATCTCTTTTTTGAGCCAATCCTTTCATGAGATTATCCGATATGTTTCATGCAACAAGTCCTCAGACAACAAAATATGTCATTTTTTTTCATTGCCTTCCAAAACAGCATATATGTGGGATTTGTCATCTGACGCACCTATTAACGGGGTGACAATATTTGTCGATATAAATAACATAAGATGGTTACAAAAAATATTCATATAACCTTTTTTTTGTGATCCGCCACCGCTATGTTTAAGATAACATGGCATTCAACTACTTTGTTGAACCTGCATATGTTGATTTTTCTCCGCTTGACATTTTTACATACTTTATACATCAACATATAAGGTTTTTATGGTGAACTTGTAAGCAAACAGTTGAGTATTCCCACAGACACAGAGCAGCATTTACATACACTTGAAGTTGGCTATGATGACAGATGAATGTAGCCCATAGAAATAGAATAGGAGTAGAATGGACATTGAGTGTTTGCAGTGTAAATTTGACTAGTACAAAAGATAATGGAATTTCAAAAATGATTTTCACCGTGCTTTAATGCTACACTGGTCACAGAAAATGAACCAAACAAAGTTATCACTCATCTGGCGATAGAAATGTCCTTTCCTACAGTGTGACAAGAGTGTGTGGATGAAGCATTAAGTTGTTCAGTTGCACTCTTTACTCTGGTTTTGTAACGTTACTACTCCACTGCAAAACCTCACCTCAGTGAGTTTGCATCTTGCTGTAAGACAGTTTAGTTTATGCAGAAGTTAGCCAAGTACAACAGTTGCGATGGCAACAGTACACATAATCAGTGGATAATCTATGTCGGGAACATGTCTGTGTTTGTGTGCGATTTGTGTGTATTTGAGTGTTTGCATGGAATAAATCTTGTATCTTGTGTGCGTGTGTGTGTGTGTGCAGTCGTATGGAGAAATGGCAGCTAATTGGCGAAATCATGATTGACATCACATAAAGAGAAAGACAAGGGCCCTGTTGACTGACAATAGCAGAGCGGAGTGGATGTAAAGTGTTGAAGTGATGCAGAGTAGAGTCTGCAGGTCAGGGATATAGTGGGTCGAGCACGCAGCCACACCTGGCCCTCGTCTGAAGAGCAGGTTAGCCGAGCAGCTAAAACAAAAGCTCTCAGATTCAAAACTCTCTGCATGTAGTTTATGTAGCCATTGCTGTGTAGTGTTTTTGTCCGCTTGTGTGGTGTTCTATGATCCTCTCCACATATGAGGTATATGGTGTGGAAAAACCACAACACTGCCTGCTTTTGGATTTTCCAAATCTTTTTTAATGTTGGGTACGCCATCTCTTAGGCGGTTTTGTTTGTTTGTACCGAGTGCAATAAAATGGAGAGATGTATAAGGTCAAGGAGACGTATAAGCCAATAACTGTCTCCTCACCTCAGTGATTTTGCTGGAAGCTGCTGATGTGGTGATTAGACATTGATGCTATAATTGTGATAAATCTTTGACAGCGACGACCGCAACAGTGCTTGTTGAGTATGAAAAAAACACGTGTTCCTGTCACATTTGACTTGTTCTGGCTTGATTGTTACCATGTTGATTTTAAAGCTAATGATTATTTACCAGTGTTGTAGTTGACTCACACGAAATGTAATGAAACATTTGTCTTATGTTAAGATGCTTCCCAATTGTCTGTTGTGATACCAGAGAGCACACTGGTGTGCAATTATAGTGCTGCACAGTAATTGATGCTTTTTTTGTAAGTAACATAAATTGGACATAACATAAAATAATTTGGAGCACAGTACAAAATAATGACAACAAAAGAAAGATCAGTGCATTAGATGTTCATTGACATATTGGCCTGTCTGTACTCTTCTTGCTCTGTCACTTTGTTTCATTCACTCGTTGTTTGTATTTGTGTATCTAACATTCTTTCAACTCCACACACACACACAACATTTCATGGAAGAGGCTTCTTTAAAGGTGAAAGCATGAATTAAGGAAACAAGTTCCCCTTTGATGAGATAATACCTGTCTGACAGCTTCATTGAGTCTTCCACTACATTCTGGGAAAGAGACACATGGCTCGGCATCTGTGTTGGCCCAGACTCCCTCTGTCATATTTACACACTCTATATATATATATACATATATATCCTCTCTCTCGCTCTCTCTCTCTCTCTCTCTCTCTCTCTCTCTCTCTCTCTCTCTCTCTCTGACCCAGAAGCATTTCTTCCGCCCATGGAGATTTCCCAAAAGCTAAAAAAAGACCCACTTTCCCATCTCCTATGGAGGCAAAAATAAAAGGAGAGATATGATAAGGAATGTAACCCTAGAGTGTCGTTATAATGGATAATTTAAAAGGCATGTTCTGCCTCTGAAAAGAAAGAGTGCCTTCCCCGGCCAAGAGCTTAAATGTATGCATTGAATATAACACATACAACGTAAACAGAGGCAAGTAAGAGAAGCATTTGTTTCTCACAGCATTTCATTACAGCAAATAGGAAAGGCCTCCTCAAGGGTAATGGCAATGACACGAAACAAATCCCTCAGTGCCAGAGAATAGAGAAGTGTATATTAGACTGGAGAACCTTATGTATGTACATACAAGGATCATAACTAATTACCAGATTTATTTGAACGTAACAAGGTCTAATTTAAATCTATTCGATACTGTATATATTCAACAAGACAATTCAAAGTTTTTCTGTATTTGTCTACCTGTCAACAGATCCCATGAAAAGACCAAAACCGTCACTGTGCTGCAATCATGCAGTGCTCATCAAATCTCCAACAAATACTGATAGGCTACAAGTCTCAGTCATCATTAGCTGTCTTATTTATGTCCTCCTCATACAACATACGGGTGACAACTGCCCTACAACAGACCAATGCCAAAAAAACCTCTTCCCTCTCTGAAAACGATGGCGGACAGATATTGCACGAATGAACTGAAAAGTAGCATCAAGGTTTCTGTGGCTTTTACTGACAAGTGTGAATGTTCCTCGAGGGCTATTTCATGGTGCAATGGGCTGCTGTATACGTGTGTGAGACGTGTCTACTTTGCCCTTTTGTAATGACTAAGATTGCAGCTACAGTCAGTCACTGTCACTCAACATTGACGAACAGACGGAGAAAGAAAGGAAGTGGAGAAAATGGAGAGAATATCAAGAGGCGTGATCACAATAAGGAAAGATTTCTACAATTCAGGTGGATTCAATAAGGTCTGAAATAGATCTCTGTGATTGTTAAAAGCAAAATCACCTCCATTGCCTTGAAAAGGCAAATAAGAGATAAGGGAAAGAATGGACTGGAGGCATTGTATCCCTCTCTAGTTTTGTGTCTGTGACAGAAATACCAATTATTCATTGCTGGAGAACATTTCTATTCAGTGCTATTGGTATGCGGTCTAATTCTTCTCGGTTGCCTTGGTGACATGCGCATCAGGAGGACAACATAGCATCTCGCAGCCTTCCAGCCTGTTAACCAATTTCTTGCCATCAAGAGACATGCTCTCATCTGTGAATCAAAAGGTTTGAATAAAAGATCCATACCTGCCGATAAGGAGGAACTCCCCAAACACCCCCAGTCTCCTCATGGCCATTAGGAGACCTCGGACAGTCATGCCCTCGCAGAAACACACCACTACACGGGCTTTGGGTAGACGTTCCCGTAGTTTCCTTAAAAGGCGATCGAAGTGCTTCTCTCCCGCGTTACTGTAGATCTTGTCCGAGTGGGCAATGCATAAACCTTCCTGAGAGGCCAGCTCTTTGAAGGCATCCATGCCACTCTCGCCATAGTTTCCTATAGGTGATGAAGAAAATAGATTAAATAGTGAGAAATCTGCCGAAAAACATTCTGAATTTACTGGAATTAAACATTTTTTTCTGGTAATCCAACCTCTGAAACATGTGTGGCTAATGTAAGAAACAGTGTATTGCGTTTTGTGAGAAGTGTGTTGCAGAATTGCAAACAAAGTGCAAAGCAGACATGGCTACAAAGGTTTTGATGCTTTTGTCTTAGCATTCACCTTTAGTGTGGACATTGTCCCCCAGCAGTTGTTCAGTGCGTCAAGTTCTGACTGAGACAAAGCTCTGATCCTCTGATAATGAGTGTCAGAGAGTTTACTGGCTACTGATTGCAATCAAATCCAAAAGGGGTGAAGATAGCTATCCTTGTTTAACAGCACATCATCCAAATCAAGAGCCCGTCAAAGCTGTTTAAGTCTAAATCTTCTATTTCCATGCGGACTGCAGAGCTTGTACTACTGTGTCACGATCGGATGGATTGTTGATAAAACCCACAGCTCTTTGGCATGAGAGCTGGATTACGAACATGTGTCTGTGTGTGTTTCTGAATGTGTGTGTTATCAAAAGAAAATAAAGAGGCTTTACCCACAAAAATCTGAAAACATTTGTTGTGCAATTGCCTTGATGAGGAGCCAGGTTCCTGGGGGACTCCAGGCCACTCTACCCGTATATGGGTGGTGAAGACAAACACTAGATCTGTGTGGCATGGCTTTATAGAGCAAGGAAGGTGACAAATGAAATAGGCATCACAGTAATGCATTTACTCTGGCACGCAATGTGCCCATGTGTTGGTTTTCCAATAGTCCTTTGGAAAAAATTAGGCAATTTTCAAATGGAAATAATGATATCCAATTATTCTACTCTTTCCATCTAAACTGTGAGACAGGTGGGTGGTGGTGGTGCATTAGTTGACAGCCCATTTAACAATGACTACCAAAGACCTGCTTTGAGTATTCCTACCACTCGGATGGTGATCGGGACAGGTAATTTATGCAATTTCACAGCCCTAGCTGTTGCTACGGGAACGAGCTGCATATATTACTTCTCTGAGGTGGTGGAGGAATAAAATCACAAGCTTAAGGCAGTCGTGACCACTATTTCAAAGATAGCTAGAGATAGAGCGAAACAAACAAGTGGATTTCTATATGACTCCTCAAAGTTGAGGGTAAGGTCTGCATTAGATGAATTAGGATGTAAAGTCTCAGTTAGGAACATTTACTGCGGTTCCAAACGTCTCTGTTGTCTCTTACAAAGCTGAACCTAAAGTTAGTGTAAGGGTTTATATTTACAGAATACCTGCATGTAAAACAAAAAAACACAATTTAATTCCAATTAAAGTGTACAAGTATCCTATTTTGATCACTCACACTGTAGCCGGTTGAGTAAATGATGTTGCTTGCAATCAAATCCATCCTTCCCCTGACTGGCTATTCATTACTCTTAAATTATCACTTCAGTCCCAGAGGCACCCCCTGTATGTTGAAGGTCAGACAGCTGACGCCACCTATTTATGACTCCAGGTACTACAGCTCCATTACACCTTCTCTTCATCTATCAGATAGCAACCTATGTTAAAGCCCCTCTCCAACACCTGACAATAGTAGGACTTTCCAAAGACGTTTTACACTCCCCATGAGTCTGCAGCTCCTCAGGGGGATCCTGGGTAATACAGCCTGTCAGTCATATTTTGGGTGCAGACTGTGTGAAAAATATAATAAAAAAGCTACGGACATAATTCACTTTACAGTAATTACTCTGCCTACACAACTGCTATCTCCTTTTTACCTCCTGTCTCCACCATAATACACTGGTGTACTGTTCGGTTGAACAAATTAGCATATGGAGTAAAAAAAAAGAAGGGTGAGCCAATTATGCCATGAAAAACTGAATACTATTATTGCAAGAGTTTCTATGGAGATAAGACATCTATTTTAATTTATGTGAATCTGGTGAAATGTGAAACATGAATGTATTTTTTTCATCCCAGCCTCATCCTCCTGACTTAACCATGGAATTGGTTTAACATTTCAAATGAACACCTAAAGTGTGAGTGCAAAAACAGTCCCTCGTGTGTTTGGCTGGATACAGACCTTTAAAACTTGCTTCAAGACTCTAACAACACAACTTGTATGACAATGTTTCGGAATTTGTGGAAAGATGCTTGAAGCAATGTCCACACAACCTCAACTCAAGAAAACTGCATATAAATTATAAATAATAAAGATATGCTTTGGAGTAATTATGTGTGGCTGCAAAAACCTGCTCTTAAAAGCCTGAGAGCAAAAGACTGAGACAGGCAGATACTGTACGTGTGAAAATGATCTAGTATTAAGGGGAAAGAACTGTATAATAATCCCGACTATTTTAAAAATGTTAGCATGAAATATCACAGCACATGTATGTGTCTCACATTGCAGTGATGTCATGGTAATCGAAAATACCATAATGAACGATGAAGTCATATAGACTCACTATATTATCCACTACAAGACTAACATGGCTGCTGACACACTATGGTGATTTAACGAGATCAGTGATAAGGGGCCTCACCCTCAGTGTGCACGGCGGACACATAGGTCCAGTTGTACCGCTTGACAATGTCCAGAATGGCCCGGGCCTGGAGGGTGTCTGAGGCTACGACCCGCAGGAAGTACTTGAACAGCGTCTTGTCACTCAGGTCGATGCTGGTGGCAGAGTAAGCGATCTGCGGGATGTTGAAGAGCTGCAGGAGGTTCTGCACCTGGATGGCCACAGAACTGGATCCCGGTCCGATCACTCCTGCGATGGGCTTCTTGGAGGGTGGAGGTTGGTGGGACGGGGTACCGTCAATGCACCATTTGGACCCGTCCTTATCATCACGGATGGAGATGAGGGAGTCCCGGATGAACTCGATGCTTTGCTCCAGGGCCACAGAAGAGTGCCAGCAGGAGTCTCGGATCTCGCAGCCCAGACTGATATTTGGAAGCAGGTTCGGGTCAGCGTTGATCCTGTCCAACGTGTGGAACATGGCCTCAACCCTTTGGATGCCGTACTGCTCGCGGACGTCCCCACATTTCCGCTCGGCTACTTTCTCCGCCGACGGCTGGTGGTGGACGGAGAAGAGTGCGCCGATGATCACGTCTCCATCCATACGAGCCACGGAGCGGACCAGGGCGCGAGGGACCACCGACCGCTCATATATGCTGCTGCTGTGAGAGAGCACGAGGACGCGGAAGAAAAACGTGGGGAGACACAGGAGAGCGAAGAGACCCATCTTTACGCGTGCCATATTGTGCCACATCGCGTGAGCCGTTCCAACTGTGCAGGCATACTATATCTGCTGTCTGTCAATACATCCACGTTCATCCCAGCAACCACGATCCGTGAGCACGACACCCGGGGCATATCCGCGCACACCTGCAGATAAATAAGACAGACTGCTGTGATATGTAGGCAGGGAGAAACGAGGCCAGATGCTACAGTGCTATGCACGCATGCTCCCTTCCATCGACGTCCTGTTTTAATTCCTACAGCTGGCAACATTCGTGCCTCTCTTATCAGCAACCACGAGGTGCCTTTGAGCAAGGCATTTAACTCAAACCTACCTGATCATTGGGCAGTAGTAGCTGGACAGTACTGCTGTCCACTGGGAATTGCCCAACCGTGCAGCTGGTTGGTTCTGAATGGAGCACGTACTTTAACATTTCTCAAGCAATCTTATTTGTTACAAATAGCCAGTACTATTTACCGGGAGAGGCTGAAAGTGCTGTGCTCGCTGTCCATTGAGAAAATCGGGCAGAGACCAGATTTCAGCACCGTGGACAGTGTGCTTTCCAAACACGTTACAAAGACGTCTATGGGATGTTACCTGGACGCCAGTCATACTCTTAAACACATTCTTTACGATGTGACTCTAGCTAGTTTCTAATAAAGCCGAGAAACAGCAATCCCCCCGTATCCGACTGCTATTTGAATTTGACATGAGAATGGATAAGACAACCTAGTTTATTTTTTTGTTTCAATCGCACCGTACATTATTTTATTCATCTGCCGTGCAGCCTACGGTAGTATTGGTTGATACTATTACAGCACTACTAGTGATAATAATAATACAATGCTAGTCTAACAAAAATAATACACGAATAAGCTAATATCATTCAGCAAAACACGAAACTCTTCTTAATAGACTATATTACCTCCATCTATCCATCTTTTTCATTGCCCTATTTGCATCATACATAACATATCTTAAGCGGCTTTCTTCTGTGTCTATTGCATCCAAACTTACCTGAATCCTTGAGACATGTCGCGTACCTTCGCCCGTCTTCTATAGCGCGTGGTCCTCCGCTCTCTCTCTCTCTCTCTCTCTCTCTCTCTCTCTCTCTCTCTCTCTCCACTCGAAATGTGAAGATCCCATGCAACCATCGCCTTTTCTACAGTATACTATCTCTAATGCCTGCACGTCTTTAAAAACATGCATTATGAGAGTAAGACCTGCAATGCTTTATCAGTGCAAAAAAATGACTGCCAAAACATTGAAGTCAGCTGTCAGGTATTATAAACCACATCAGTGGAGCATTTGAGCTTCTGTGCAAGATAGTTGGCTCCCTACGCTGGTTTATTACACTACCATTAGTATTGGCTTTGAAAATGTTTGATGAGAAAGTATAGACAACATATCCACCGTCGAATCTATATCACTATCATAAAATTATTCTGTGAGAGAGAAAGCGAGATTAGGTGTTGGTGTCAGGCATTAACCGCCATTTTAATTATCTGACAGCTTGCTATAACTGAAGAGAATTTGTGGCATTTTAGACTGACAAGCGCTAACAACAAGCAGACAGAGGCGTCAGGCACAGCTGTCCTTCATGACTAATATACCTCATGTGTCCACTCCTGAGTTCACTTGAGGCCCCTGGCTTCTAATAGGCCACAATGGATGTTTTCAGCACCATGGACAGCAGTCAACATTTTGCATCGAGCCATCTAGCGTTTGATTTAAGGTCATTGATGTCATAAGCCATAAGGTCAACAGGGGCCAGTCATAGACCTCTTTAACTTGCTAAATAAAGCTTTACATACTATGCCTGATATTTAACATGTATGCCATAAGGCCAAAATCCTTTGGTGAGCTCTTCATTGGAAAATAAATTGCAGAAAAGAATGTATTTTTTCACATTATTGATTGTCTTTTGGTCAACTCGAGGAGTTTACCAGCCACTGTAAGCTACTATCACTGAATGGAACTTCTGAAACAACACCGTCAGTTAGTGATGAAGACATTGATTAAGTCAATCAATGGTTTAACTTCACCCTGCACGTCATCCCAGGCAAAGACACGGCCAGCACCCGAGGGACATGCAGTTTACTTGGTAGGGTCTTGTCGTGACTCACGCCAGGCGGTATAAATCACAAACAAACTTATAAAAGAGTCGCTATGACAGTGCAACTGCTGGTGCCCGGGGCTTCGGGAGCGAGCATCTGCTATTGAATCTGAATTAAAGTGACATGTTTGAAAGGGGGGACTACTTGGATGCTGCAGCCACACTTCAGGGCAAAGGGCGAAGGCAGTACTTGGTTTATTCTAGGACTGCAGTCTGCGTGGGTTGACCACAAGTCTATCCAGCGATGACCTAATAATTAGGCTAATATTATTTTGATGATGTAGCATTGGTTAATGAAGACCGATTCATTATAAAATTATCAATTACAGGAATAGATATATCTTTATATAAGTTTTTTTGGGCTCATCACTGTCTTTTGGATGGTCCAAAAAATAAACATACATTTCTGTTTTACTTACTCAAAGCATAAACCTTACAATCAATCTTTTGGCAAGCCTAATCTTTCAGGGCCTGGCTGTCTGCAACTCGGGGGAATCAGGAAAGTTGGTGCATATTCAGCAACATTTGTCCTTTTTATCAACATGGGATTGATAGCCTTTTAAATCGTGACAGTTTACAGACAGCAGAGCAAAACATCTTATATTAAATACTTGATTGGCAGTCTAAAATGCAACATTAAGCCACTTTAAAAAATCACAAGCGAAGGCATAGTTTTCATCACCGGAAGTTCACAGCTCATTTAGTGGTGAAGCTAAAGATCCATCCACCCAACCTTCACTCTCTTCACCCTTGTCTTGTCTGTCTCATGGGTTGGGAGCCATCGGCACAGTGCATGGTAAAATTTGGTTGCCTAGCATAGTCAAGTAAATCTCATATGAATCAGTGAAATACCAATGTTTGCATGACTTCATTCTTTAATTCATGATCAATCCAATACTCAGTATGCAGAATCAGCTGAGCATATTCTTAAATACAGCATAATAGCACAAACTGTATGCATAACATTAATAGTATAAAGATTTAAAAGGAAAAGTCATTGTAAATTCGGACTCCTTTTTACATATTTACATTTTACATCATGTCAATTATGATGGTCCCACACCGACTGGGTTTGTTTCAACACCTCATGGACAAGTGTATTCAGTACAGTCCAGTCAGCCCCTCCTACTCCAGGGGTGCTGTTTTGTAGGTGACCCCGACCTCGAAACGTGGCGCGTCACTTCAGTACCTTCAGTGAATTTAGGCAGTCTACCCATTACCAGCCAGGAGGCCGCGTGACAAAAGTAGTACAACAGCGACCTCTGCTGTTGGTTACTGGTCGCTGCGAGCACCTAGAGAAGTTGCGTCTGTTTGCAAACACTGCTCTATTTCGGGTGGTTACATTTAATGAACAGGTGGTGCAGATGTGGCAGATTCAGTAATAATTATATTCGAAATAAACTGCACAAAAAACACCCACCTCTTTTACAAAATGTAATTTTACTTGACAGATTTGTATGTATTATTTTCATAACATAAAAGTAAGCTATCATTTCTGTAAACAATGTATTGAAGATATGGTAGAGTATTTTAAATAAAAGTGCAGAAAGATGAATTGCAGTGTAAATGATTACTACCCCTTAAGGGTAAATGCTTTATTAACAAATTTAGATTTTATTTATTTTTTACATTTTTGCTTATCTATAATTACAAAAGGGTATCCATCTACATACTTATATTTTATTAATTTTTTTCTTTTTCTGTTCTTGTCGTTTTTCGTTTTTCATGTCCATATCAACCCTTGTAAAGATAAACGTAATATTAATGTAGGCCTACATTTCTGTCAATAAAGTTTTGAACAGAAAAAAAAAATGGAGGCTCAGTGGCAAGGATTGTAGTAAGCTAACATTAGCAGTTTCTCAAGAGCGGTAACTACAGTAACAGCTGGTTGTATTTAGATACAACAACCAAACATACCTCATCACACGTGTTCCTACCAACACAACGTTAAGGTGAGAAGCGACTCGCGTGCTAACACAACATTGTCATGCTAAGTTAGCTTTTTGTGAGCTTCCGAGTTGGGCTAGCTGTTGTGAGCAAACATTAGCCGGTAAGTGCAAGCTAGCCTGCTATTGTTACAAAGAAACAAGTTGATTTAACAGCGAAATAACAGTTGACAACAAGCTGGCTTGCAGTACGAGGGTGTATTTAAATGACACAGCAGCTAAAACTTGTCTCGTCGTCTTCGGTTCCTTTGTGTATTCATGGTAGGAAGCTGCCTCCGTTGTCATCAGTGTATGCACCTTATCTGGGCAAAGTGAGCCAGCCTGATTACCTGCTTGGGCATAGTATATATTCCCAACATTTAAGGATTTGATTATGTTTGCCATTTCACACTAACTGTAGGAAATCATACAATGTGAACACAATCAGATGTCGATCAAACTGAAAGTTTGGCATCATCACACACTGCTAATACCTTATAACCTAATTTAGTTTTCTAAGGTCTTTTTGGAGCTGTCTCGCGACTTAATACTGTAAGAAAGTAAAGGTTTTGACCTCTTTAATATGAAAAGGTATTTGTATAAAACAGCCTTTTAGGTGCATTACGTGACTGCAGTGGACTTCCACACACGAGGTGCGGCGCTGTTTCACAGCCGCTGAGCAGGCTCTAGACATGGCAAGAGACTTTGGGTTTGCTTAGTCCTTCAGGTTGGTTGGTAGTCCTGTTTCATTGACTTAATAGCTGTACTCACATGAGGTTATGTTAGTACGTCAGTGTTTAATCACTTTTACCACTAATGACAAAGGTTTAACACCAGTTACATCAGTTGTAACCTGTTGATATTTAACTTTTAAATACTCTACATCTTCAATACACTGATATTATTTCTCTTTCTGACTATTTGGCAGGGCAGTGGATTTTCTCACAGTCACTATCAGAAGCGTTACACCCCTGGAGGTCTGAAGATGGAGGGGGACCATGTTCACTGCATGTCCTGTGTTAATCAGAGATGCACAGTCAGAGCTCAGCCAGGCATTTCTTGCGATCTTGTTGCCTGTCCTCTGGTGTGCGGGGCTGTATTTCACTCCTGCAAAGGTGATGAGCACCACCTTATGTGCGCACTGGTGAGGGTTCCCTGCCTCAACAGTGGCTACGGCTGCCCTGCCGCCCTGGTTCGCAACCAAATGTATGCACACCTTGAAGTGTGTCCAGCTGGAGTGGTGTGCTGCACTATGGAGTGGAACAGATGGCCCGTTAGCTGCCTGGACTATACTTCCTATGAGAGCCTGAGCCGGGGGGTGGAGGAGGTGGAGCAGCTAGATATGGCACTCGCTCTTCAGGACCAGCGTACGCTACTCGAGTCCCTCAAGGTGATTGCCATGGCACCTACTGTCGAAGGAGAGCCACTTGTCCCCGTTAGTAAGGAGAACACGGCAACAGACTCAGCGTTGCTTACATCTGCGCCTGAGACCTCCACCATTATCGAGTCACCTTCACAGTCATCATCCTCAGGTCAACCTCCCCCACAAGGCTCTGCAAAGGAGAGAATTGTCAGTGGAATCAATGGCTTGAACGAGGAGCACTTCGGTAAACTGTACGAGGCCACAGTGGAGACCGCAAGAAGCTTAGTTGCTGCTTTGGAATTTGTCAGCAGCGCGAACTCTGTTGACGGCAGCAAAGAGTGTATCGTGAGTAGATCGAGCAGCTCTGGAGACCTTAAGAATGGACCCGATGGAAAAACACCTGCTGATGGTTTGAATAAAAAAGAGATGGAGGAGCAAAGTGTTTGTTCTAGCTGTTTGAGAGGAAATGGGGCCGTGAAAGAAACCGATCCAAAGATTTTAAAGACGACAAATGGACCACTGTCAGGAGGAATGGAGGCCTGCCTGGAGACATGTCCTGTTGAGGTGAAAGATGACATGAATGCTGGGGTTTCTCAGGAGCCAGTCACCCCCCTAATGGCATCTCCAGTGCATGTCAGCCAGGGCGTGGCACAGAGGGCTGCTCATGTGGTCCTCGAAGATAGGGGGCTAGTTCTTTTAGGAAACCATGGGCCTGAGCGAAAGTTCCACACCTACCATTTTTTTAGGGGCCAGGGCCAATGTTCATTACCTAATGGACGGATAGGATTCATCCCAGACAGGTCGGGGTATAGATTGCGACCAAAAATGGAGGACAAGTCAGTAGATACCTCTGATCTGGAACAGGTCGACGACCCCATGGGTCTGGGAGAAATTGATCTAATCACGGCGGCGCTGCTCTTCTGTTTAGAGGAGTCCAGAGAGTGTAGGAGGATCTCTGACACAGTCTATGTTGATGGCTACCGTGTTGACTTTGGCACGCAGACTTTCACTTTCCCCGCAGCCATCTTGGTAACCAACACTAGAGTGGGTGACATTGCCTCTGCATCCGCCTGTGACCATGCTGCCCCACAGCTCTCCTATCCGAGCCCCTTCCGCACTCTCCGCCTCGGGCTTGTCCTGGAAGCTCTGGAGGTGGAGCCTGTCCCGCACAACTGCTGCCTCCCTCCTAACCCCCGCTACCAACACATGTTCCCTTTCGTCTGCGGTCAGTCATTGCGTCGGGACCAGTTTTCCTCCCACTTCACAAATGTCCATGGTGACATTCACGCTGGTCTCAACGGTTGGATGGAGCACCGCTGCCCTCTGGCGTATTACGGCTGCACATTTTCTCAGCGGAGGTTTTACCCATCCACCGAGGGGGCCAAAGTGGTTCACGATAGGCACCTCAGGTCCTTCGGGGTTCAGCCTTGCCCAAGGGCAAAGTTTCCAAGTGACTTCCAGTCTGACCAAATTAGTGGGCTTCCCATTGAGATATTGTGGCACATAGCTGGCTTCCTGGACAGTTTCAGCCTCTGCCAGCTGTCACTGGTGTCACGGACAATGAGGGAGGTGTGCGCCAGTCTCCTCCAGACCAGGGGCATAGTCGAGCTGCAGTGGGAGCGGAGACGGAGTCCTGGTGCCCCTGGCACTGTGTCATGGCAGACCAAAGACAGAGTGAGTAGTCAGAGTTTTATTTTACAATCTCTTATCAAATCGGTTACAAAGATGTTATGCTTTTCACAAGAGGCAACATTCCAAATAGCCGATGTGCCACTGAAGCTCTACCGCAAATGCTAGAATATTATACGCACAAAAAATATTCGCTTTGACCATATCTTTAAAAACACAGAAGTATACAAGTAAACAAATCAACAGCAGCCCTTCTAAACTTCATTCCAACATCTTTTATTTTGTATTTTCTGATACAGGTGTGGAGATTCAGCACTGCTTTCAGCCCGGTGTTGTCTTGGGGTTTCACCGATCTCCCCAGCATGTCGGACCATCTTAAGAAGTGCCACTTCAACAATGTGGAGTACAAGACGGAGCCGGTACCCCTTCCTGCCATGTGCACTGCACGAGATGGACACTCGCTGCGTCGCGTCCTCCGTCACGTTAACACCTGATCCACACAAAGCTGACCCCTCGTAGCAGCACAAGAGTCACTGGTATTATGTGGATGTTGCAATTACATATTTGATGTCTTGAAAACGTATAACTCTTCCTGTTTTACACTACATTGTTAAGAAGCCTGAATGAAATCACACCCTAATTGCCACAATCAAGGTCTGTTGTTGTGGGTGTCCCTATGTGGATTGCATGGATTTGTGCTGAAATGTGTCCTTATTCTGACAAAATGAAAATATATTTTCTTGAAGATAAATATGCATAATAGATTTATACTATATGATATACTGTATACATGTTCTCACTATCTTGCCTTTCAGTAGTAGCCATGGGGGAAAAGCAGATTGTTGGTTATATTGCATTATTTCTGTGACAGAAGTTATGCCAGCACTTTACACAAGATTTGCTTTACCCTCCTATGTTGATATGTGACCCGAAATGATCTAGTCTTTCTGATTCCTATAGCGGGTGTCAACCCATCGCAGATCTGTTGTCTGGGTTTGTAGGATGTCAGACCATGAGTCAAAAAAAGATGGCAATTAATGATAGCCTGATAATGTATGTGATTTGCTACCATTTAATAAAGTCTTTACAGCCTTTTATGTATTTGTCTTTAAAGCTCTCCTTAGTTCAATATAAAATGTAATTTTGTTATTATGCATAGGCTCTTTGGAAAGAGTGAAGTTATTAAATATATATCCGATTTCAAATAAAGATTTGTACAAAATGTATAGGACCTCTGCAAATGGTTATCAATCTTGAACTCATTTAATGAATAATATCCGAAAGAGCAGATATTGACAAGTTTCAAGAACGCTTCCATCCTCGGATTGAGAAAGTAACCAGTCCAGAATGGGGAATCCCTAAAACACGGTTTGAGTCTGTCACAGACAGATGTGGTATCATTCAGGCGTAGTTTGTCACACAGAGGCGATTCCCAAAGTAAAATGCCTTACACTGTTACCCATAATTCATTTAAGTCCGGCGTCTGCGCTAAAAACATCGCAATAATACATCTACAGACCACGATTCAATTGCACATGCAAATCATACCTTCCAGTTTATAGAGATGCAAATATACTGTGGCTGGCAGCTACAGCTTTCTGGGAATCTGACAGCACAGACAAATGTTTACTCAACAGGACATTTAGATATTGCAGTGCATGATCAGCATCTAAACTCCCAAGCCTTTCAGGCAACCAAAAAGTGGTAGGAAAGGATGCTGCTGCTCTTGCCTCAAACAATTTTGCAAATTAGAATTCAGATATGTAAATTATAACTGCTCCAAGTCTCTGTTGAAAGACCGGTTTGCGATGAGTCCTGTCACCATAACAGATGCACAAAACTCTCAGTTGAGCTAGACTAGTTAAATGAAGGTTTAATAAAGTTAAAACCACATACCTTGGCCACAAGCACTACAGTTTCTTCCTAGAAAGGGGCAGGATAAAATGTATTAAGTTGCACTATCCTGGCTTAAAAGAATTTCAATTATTTGGAGCATAGGATGTACTCGGTCTGAGTTTAACACCACTTTAAATTAAGTGACTTGGGGGAGCTGCTACTGCGCACAAATCACTCAAAACTGCTACAAGCCTGAAGTTTATCCTGGTAATATGTACAAAATATTAACAAAATAATTTTGTTTTTATCTGGCAAAAAACAATCAAAAACACAATTCCCATAAGGAGGACATTAAAAACAAACTGGAATTTATTTTCTTTATAATTAAGACAGCATATTGAACAAATCCACTGTACTTTTTCCAGACTGACATACCATCCAGTTCTAACATTAATTGGTAAAATACCAGATTTGTGTTCATTGTGGACATAGCCAGGTTTGGCTACAAGAAAAGTAGGGCGAAGTATTAAAGGTGGCGGGAGAACCACCAGCTCAAAGACAGCAATGCACAAAAACTGGATGGACAAGAGTGACTGAAGGACGTCAAACTGTGGAATCAATAATTGAATATTTGCAGCAGTAAAATGCAACACACACACATTAATGCATCAGTAATATTAAAACTAAAAGCATAATATATAATTAAAGCTGCAAGCAGCATTGATTGGGCCTTCGCACACGTGGAGGGTACTAGCTGGACGCTGGTTGACGTGGCCTTGCACTTTCTTAACCATCACACCCTGCGTGCACGAGTTCGGTGGTATTTCATGCATGGAGCAGCGGCGTTGTCAGGTCATTTTTAAGGCACCTCAAATGTTTTTGAGTGTATCTCTGAATACTATTTTAAATGCAAGCCTGTAAAGATCGGGGGAAAAAACTTAATATGTGTAAACTAAATGTGACTAACATCTTACTCTTGGCTCCCTTCATGGACTGATGAAAAGAACTCACTCTGAGGTCTCAGTACTCATGTAATCAGGGAATGCCCAACACCTGTGGTATCTTTTATTAAATTGGCCAAGTGGTGTTGAGATTCCTGCTGAACATTAGTTTAGTGGTTCAAATGAAAAGGTGAGTTCTCTCTCTTTGGAGCTTCATTCTTTTCTTCTTTT